AAAGATAAAAATACGTTTATTGACGTTTCAATTTCCACTTCGGAAATCGTTCTCAAAATACAAACAGTAAAATTTACTGTTTGTATTTTGAGAACGATTTCCGAAGTGAAAATTGAAACGTCAATAAAACGTATTTTTATCTTTAATTGTGGCTTATTCCCAGTTACATGGTAATTTAATTTACAATTCCACGAGAAAATAGCTTCAGAACAATATTAATAAAACGTTCATAAACATAAAAATTATAGCAATGACAATGATTAAAGCGACAATGACAAAATTTACACAGCAGCAGCCGTCCTAGAAGTTAGCAAAGCCTTTGACAGAGTCTGGCATAAAGGGCTGCTCTATAAAATGAATATAAATGGATATAGCGAGGCAATGACATGTCTCCTAGCGTCATACCTGACAAACAGGAGATTTAGAGTTCGTAGAGGGCCCATCCTATCCGAAATCGGAACTCTGGAGGCAGATGTGCCTCAGGGAGCGGTGTTATCACCGTACCTATATAGCATATACACAGCAGACACACCTAGTGACCACAGAACAATGCTTAGCCTATATGCAGACGACACGGCGATAGCAACAAGCAGCAGAAACTCCAATTTTGCAACAAGGGACCTACAAAGGTCACTAAACCGACTGCACGCCTGGTGCATAAAATGGAAAAATAGTCCCAACCCGGAAAAAACACAGGCTGTTATATTTAGGAAAAGAAGGGCTTCTTCTTCTTCTTACGGTGCCTATCCGTTCCGGATGTTGGCGATCAACATGGCTATCCTAACTTTGCTTGCTACTATTCTGAATAGTCCGGTTGTCGATGTATTAAACCACTTTCTCAGGTTTTAAAGCCAAGATATTCTTCTTCTTCCTGGTCCTCTCTTTCCAAATACCTTGCCGTGAAAAATGAGTTGCAACAAGCCGTATCTCCGTTCATTCCTCATAACATGGCCAAGATATTCTAGTTTGCGCTCTTTGATGGTGTTAATAATCTCGCATTCATTGCCTATTCTACATTGTAATACTCGATCACAAGCTCACATTCACTGAACATAAAGCAGTACATAAAGCAAAATTAACAAAGACACAACTCACCGCGCTAATCGGCAGGAAAAGCAAACTAAATTTCTTAATTAAATTAAAAAACAGCTTAATATTACCAACGTTAACTTATGCATCAGCAGCATAGGGGCACACCTGTAAATCAAACAGGAAGACAATACAAGTAGCACAAAATCAGCTAATAAAAGATGCACTAAAAGTACCGAAATATGTACTATTAAGATATCTATACAGAGATACTCATCAGAAAACAATTCTACAAACAATGGATGATTAAGCGTACGAGTATTCAGTGACATAAGAATCACCCCAACAGAAAGCTGAGAGAGCTAACAGATTATGATGAAAACGTCAGAACGACACATAGACGGCCTAAACAACAGATTTGGAAATGTCCCAATAGTATATAACGACATAAAGATAGAGATAGGCACATAATAGTCAAAAGCACGCGAAATAAAAGTAGGAAAAAAAAAGAGGTAAGATCTGGTGCTCTGGCATGTTATAGTTTCCGAACACCAGCTTTTGCTCACCAAAAAAAAAATAATATAAAAACCAAATAAAGCACCTTCTGTTGGGTTCTCAACCCAACAATAGTCGAGTGATACTGATCCTGTCACACACAGACTCACCACGCAAATGCAATACAAAGAGAACCGTCAGTTCTCTTCATACAGCCAAACTTTTGGCTAAGGCCCTTATGGCAGGTCTATTGGGAGACCATCATCGCGAACACTTTCTTAGGGACTTCAGTCCAAAGTAATGCTACCTCTCTTCTGCTTCTGTACCTCAAAGTCAGACGAACGTAAGTGTAAAAATTGTGATTTTCGGGTTTTTGATGTTTGTTGATGTTTTGTGTGTAAAATTTAATTCTACATCGAGCCATAATAACGTAACTACTTTAAAATGTATTTTTTCCAAATCAAGGTTATAAGAGCGTAAGACCTTACCCATATCAGAGCCAGACAAACGTAAATCCACTTACTACATTATGGCTCTGAGGTTTTGCTTGAAACCTGTAAAACGGAAGTCCAAGCCCAAGTTAAAATGTAACCAGAGGTTTAGAAACCAATAGAAACGGCAGTTTCTATTGTCTTGTGTAAGAACTAAGCCAGTTAATAGGCAACGTAAGAGAGACGAGACAAGACAGAACAAATCTGAAAGTCAGTTGTTTTTTTAATTACACAAAAATGAGGAAGTAATTTGTAAAATGTTCTTTTTAAATACACTTTCAATTTCAGAAACTTTCATGAGAGTAGCCATAAAAAAGGCCAGTGCATCTGGATTGGTAACCACAGACCTTAGGAGAAAACATATGCCAGGTAATAAAACACCTATTATAGATAGACTACAACGAATCAAAACTCATAATTCAAATATCCCTGTATATGAAAGCCATCACAGCAGGGAAAGGTCTCAACGTTCCTCATTTTTATGAGGAACAGTGTAAAAAAGAACAAGTTAAACCAGAAAAAAAGTGGATTTATTCTAAAATTTTTAATGAAGAATGAACTTGTCTTTTCATTCACCAGACAACGATACATGTGATGTTTATGATAGACTAGATTGTGAAATGAAAAATGAAAAAAATTATGAACTACTCAATGAACTGAAAGTAAAAAAAAATAAACACCTCGAAGATGCCTCATATAGATATTAGTTAAAGAAAAAAGACAAACTTGAAAGAAGTGCTAACATAGGATTAAGAGTGATTATGTCAGATCTCTAAAACTGCCTTACAACACTAGACTTAAAAAACACCACAAGTTTTTACTCAAGAAAACTCTGGATGTTATAGTACTATTTATGATGCAACAACTGATAAAACTTGGTGCATGATCTGGAATGAAGTTACAGCGGGTCGAGAAGGAAACAACATAGCTTATTTTCATGGGCAAGTGAAGAAATTACTAACAATCAGCATACTGATGTACTGATTATTTAGACAGATAAATGCAGTGGATAAAACAGAAATATGAATATGGTTTTTATGTATTTGTGGCTCTTAGAAAACGTTTCTACTGTACAGACAGTCAACCACAAGTTCTTATTGGCCGGACACACCCACATGGAGGTTGATGGAAAACACAGCATAATAGAGAGAGCTAAAAAACAAATAAAAACTAACACCATTTTCACTACAAATGATTGAGCAAACTTTATTGTTACATGCTCAAACTTCCTCATGCTTACATGCTCAAAAATCCACTTGTTGCCAGACAGATATGCATTAGATACTTCTTTGATTTTCTCTTCTTGAGCATCAAAGACGCCCCATTTATATCAAGGAAAAAGAACACAAACACCGAACCATTTCTAATATTCAATGCAGTGTGGTTGCAGCTTCGAAAAGGGGACAGTAAGCTATATTACAAAACCATTTTTCAGGAAGATTCATTCAAAAGTATTAAGCTGAAAAGAAACCGGAGGCAAGCAAAGATTAATATACCATTGGCAATTTCACACGAAAAGAAAATAAGCAATGAAAAGTACAACGACCTCATGAACCTGAGGCAATGAATCCCTGAAGAATACAAATCCTTCTTTGGAAACCTTCCACATGGTAAACACGAAGGTAACTTCCCTGAAGATGATTCGACTGCTCTTGATAATTTTTTTCTCCTTATCTCTTTGACAATAATGGTCAAAATAATTGAAAAACATTGACTAAATGCTAGTTCTTCATCTATGTTATTTATAATAATTACATGTTTTTAATAGCAGCACATGAAATTTATTTCTAAACACGTTTTCCTAGATAAGTAAGTCTTATGAGAGATTTATGTAGAGCCAAAATAACGCAAGTCCAGGAGTAATTCCTACAGCAGGGTTTTGTGTGGAGCCACAATAACATAAGTCCAATTTTTACAAATTGGGATATATTTAGTAAAAAAATCAAACAATAAATAAAGGATACTTATTTGTTAATAATACAAACATTAGTTTAAAGGTAAATTAAAGTGATAGATTTGTAGTTAAGCAATTAGGTAACTTTTTTAGTTTGTGCTCTCTCCTGAAAAGTTGGCTAGACGTGACCTACGTTTGTCTGGTTCAGAGGTTACAAAATTACAAAATTTAACTCAGTAAAGTAACTAGGGAGAAAAGCTTACAGCTACCCCTAAAAGTGAGGTGGCCTAACCACAACCATGTCAATACGGAGGGTGTTATTTTATTACCCAAATCGCCCGATGCAACAGTTCATAAGCCTTCTCTACGTATGTTAGACGTAGAGAAGGGGTGTAGGAAAAAACTTGGGGGTTAGGTATCGATCCAAAATGATTAGCTGTTCTGGAGCGAGACCGGTTTGATCTTCGGATATGTGGATCTCACTGATTAGCAGTGGTATACACATGTCACTAGGGGTTGGGTGAACACTTCGCGTGTGTGTGTGTATGTGTGTGTGTGTGTGTGTGTGTGTGTGTGTGTGTGTGAGTGTGTGTGTGTGTGTAAAATTATAGCGAAAAATAAAATTTTAAATTTTCACTTTTTCACCCTGTATATTTTAAGGATTTACAAATTTTATTTTATGTGAATATTTTAAAAGAACAATATTTTTAAAACAATTGGATATTAATATTTTGACGAAGGAAGAGTTTTTGAATTATCTATAATTATTTTTAATAAATAATATTTTATTAAATTATTACTATTAAGTACTTTTTAATTTCAATTGTCAGTAATCATGTAGGGGGATTGCAACAATGATCTATTAAAATTTAATAACAACGCATAAATACAAATTAAGAAATCAATTAATTATATAAATTCTTGTTAAACTTATGCTTTAATAACTAAATTTACCTATGGCCGATGTAGGCGGAAATATGTAATTTACCAATACCGCACCTTTAATTAAATGTTTTAATTAGAGTATACTGAAGATATTGTTTTTGCAAGTATAAAAGTAAGTCTAAAACTGCACAAATAATCAATCATTCTTTAACTTCTATTAATGATGAGGCGTTATAGTTTTTCCGTATGTCTGGTAAGTTTTCAGAATTTTAAATTCTATTCTCAATTATTTGTATTTAAAATTTGTAGATCGTTTTGTAGATTTTTTTAAGTATACTCGGATTTTCAAATCATATATTATAACTTTTAATTATATTTAATTTTTTTATTTACTAATTTATCAACAAGGCGAGGCTATTAGGGTATTGTTAGTTTAAGTACTGGTAATTCATATATAATTATATAGTAAAAATTAAGTGAATTTGTACGCCCATATTTAATATGAAAAATTAAATTTTATGAAACAGTCAACAAATGACAGAAGATAAGCAAACAAAGGAACTAGAGAATACGATCAGAATATATTCTACTGAACATCGCTAACAAGGCTTTGACTATATTTCAACGAAGCTGCATTTTCACGCTGTTCAGGGATAATGTATCTTATTCTGCGGTATATTAACCAAGCATTTTGTATGGAGACATTAAGACCCGAGATAAATAAAGACAGTACCATTTCTTGAATCTTATATTTGTTTTGTAATAGGTAACAGTTTGATTCATCATATCAGTTATTTTCATAGTTTTCGTTATAAGCCCAAATAAGTGTTTGTTTTTCTTTGATTTTTTTGCTTCGGCCAAAGGAGTACTTGTTCGTTTGATAAATTGGCGTCGTTTTATGGTAATTCTATGTCAAAGTAACTATGCTGCTATCATTCTACCTACATAAAAGCTCCTTATTTTTATTGTCGTACGAACTTTCGTAAATTCCACGTATGGATTTTTTATAAACTTTCACTGAATGGACACTTTTCTGTTCTATTTGATCGTATTGTTCCTACTTAACTTATTCCCTTCGATTTTAAAAAATCAATTAGTTTCATAGAGGTGAAATAATTATCAAAAATGTAAGTAATGAGACACAACCCTATCGCATTAAGTTTTAGAAATAAGTTAAGCAAACTACAATCATATTTCACCTCCAATGCCAAATTGTTTTTTGCATTCATTGGATTTTTCCTTAGACAGGCCATTCACGTTCGGACTTGTGGTCCCACTTAGTAGGACTACTAGTTGGATGTTCGTCTCCACTCACGCTCCGACTTTTTATCCAACTAGCGGTCCAACTTCAGTTCTAGGTTGTTTTCACGATGGTGTATATCGCTTAACCAAAAAATGTATAGAATAAACACTACGCAAAATATAATTAGGAGGAGGAAAATGGCAGCATTGTGTTTGTTATCCTTATATGTATATTACGATATGTATGTTTAAAAGTTAGGTTTCGTTTCTCTAGTTATTTGTCTAGGGCTGAACTAATTAATTTTTTCAACTCTTGATTTTTATGACTTTTTAAGATGTAGGAAAAAATTATAGTTTTTAAAGATTTGTGTAGGTTTAAAATCTATATTTTATTTGTTTTAAACTGGAGCTGGGATTTATTTTGTCGTATATTTTTAATAGGAATAATTTTTCGTGCAATTGAAAGTTATTTTCTATTATTTTTTTGCGAACAAGGGATCTTTTGCTACAACTATGATTTAATTTTCATTGTTTGTTGATAATTCTTTCGTAGCCAATCCGGAGTATCGGAAATTTACCTGTATGGGAATGTCCAAAATAGATCTACAGAAAGGAAAATGATTTGCCCTAACAAAAAGGTAATTTTCGTGCAATTGAAAGTTTATTTTCTATTAAATATTCGCGAACTAGAGATCTTTGCGTAAAGTATTTCATAGAAATCTCATACGTAACAGGTGCCGAAGGTCAACTGAGCAAGGAAATTTTCGATCCAACCTGTGACCCGACTTCCAACTTCACCATTCACGCTCCGACTTCGTCGCTAGTCGGAACTCGGATCTTCAAGTCGTCCCACTAGATGTTCCGACTCGTACCACTAGTTGTCCAACTAATCCAACTAGCCCACTCACGGTTTGATTTCAGATCCAACTGCAGAAGTTGGACCACTAGTCGTACCACAAGTCGGATTGCCTGCATTAGTTCATTGATAAGTATTGAAATTTTGTGGTAACCAGATTTCTGACTCCAACACAATGATTTATACGCAAAGCATATGGGTTTGCCTTTTTATGTTGTTTCATACCAAGACGCCCTTGGTATGGTATCATGGTCGTATCCATGCTAGATTCGGTTTCCCATACAGTGTATTCAGTAAATGGTTTGCAGAGACTTTCAAGGTACGGAGAAATTTTGTATGTTTCGTCTGAACGGTTTACGTTTAGGTTATAGTTAAAATGGAGGAATCTTATAATGACTTTAAATCGGCTACGATGCAGGTTACTTGGAATTGGCATATTTTTAACATCATCAGATTCTTCCCAGTACATGCGTCTTCTTGGATTCGGGATGTACCTACTAACTAGTAAAATCCCTCATATACTTTAAATTCTAAAGTAGTATCATTTTGAAGATCATATTAGACTGTTTCCTTTACAATATTTGTTAAAATCTTTTTATTGGAAAAAAAATCAAATATCTGTAAATTAGTTATTGGTCAATCAAGAAGTGTATATCCTCCATTGAGTTTTTGATTATCCAAATAAAGGAAATTATTTTCATCTGGTAAATCTCCCTGAATCAATTTCCGTGGTAGAAGAGTTACAATTTTTACACGAATCTCAGTAGATGCCACCTGAATATCTTAAATTTCTTCATTTTAAATCTTTATTTCTGTTTACATCTCATATTTTTCGTATCTTCTTCTTCCTGAACTTGTGTTACACTTTGAAGATCTGCCTCTTTTTCATATAGTTTTATATTTTCCTTGTCAACCCTTCTTTCTGCTTTTTGATAAATTAAAGCTTCTGATTTAGCATCTCACATATTTTTGTTTAAGTTATTGAATGTTCCTTCACAGTCTTTATATCCACTATCTTCATCACTCAAATCAGTGTAGTGAGAAGGTACTAGGAGAACATCTTCATAGAATGCCGACTCCATAAGGTTTGATTCTTCTAGCATGGATAACAAAAATGATTTTATGTACTAATAATATGCCTTCTGCGTAGTGTTGTGAAAACGCGCACTGATAATTTGAGCAATTGTACCAACTAGTACAGATTACATTTTGCCATTTTAGATTTTACTAAAGCTACTACCGTTGTTATCCTATTCATAGTTTTCCACGTTTTAAAGTCTAAGGACTGGCCGGTCCATTGAACTTGGGGAAAAGGAAAATACTCAGGCGGTTCATCCTGCAAGTGAATTATATTTACTCCAGTCGTCAGCAACAAAAAATGCCACTATACGAAGAAGCTAAATTGTGATCGGTGTCAATTTTGGGATCTTAGAACGGATGTTATAAAGTTTACCACTCCTATACCTGGTCTTTTTATTAAATAAAAAAATAGCTGAAATAATTTAGAACAAAAATGTTTATTGGTTCTTCTTGTGTAAAATGAACCGTTCTCACAGAAATAAATCTTCAAGTGACCGGCGGTTTTTAATGTCAGCTTCTGTTTTCATTCATAAAATTTATTGTAAAATTTCTTAAAATGAAAAAGTTAATTACATTGACTCTCTTCTTTGAATTAATTGGCCAATATGTTGACCAGTTTACTATTTTCCAGTTGAATATAACCTTCTATTAACCTTGAACCCCATACGAGGTTCTTGGCATTTAAAGTCTACACGAATGTTAAATTTTCCCCCAAGCGTATTTAGCAAGTGGACGTAATCTTTTTTTTTTTTAATTATGTTTTAGTCAAAGTGAATTAGGTAATTTTTTATTTAGTATATTATCAGGTGGTTAAAAGGTGTAAATTATTGTAGATGGATTTAACGTGGATAAAGGTTAAGAATGTGGGTAGGCAACCAAGTTCACAGATATCTAAATTCAATGATGGAGAACTAAACATTTTTTTTCTTATAAAAAAGGCCTAGGTATATCGTTTCTACATTTGATACCTGGAATATAGAAATCAGATATGTGTGGAACGTTACGATTTTTTTTTTAATTTAATTCTTACAGAGTAAAATGTTAAGTGATGTATGTAAGTGTGTTTTTGATATAGAAGGTGAACAGAATAATTGATGTAATGTTCTTCTTCTTCTTCTTAATGTGCCTATCCGTTACGAATGTTGGCGATCACCATGGCAATCTTTATCTTATCTGCAGCAGCGCGGAAAAGCTGCACAGATGTTGTAGTAATCCAGATTCTGAGGTTCTTTAGCCAAGATGTTCTTCTTCTTCCTGGACCTCGCTTTCCAAATATTTTTCCTTCAGGATGGCTTGAAGGAGAGCACATCTGGATTCATTTGGTTTAATGTACTGTTGGTATATTTCTTAACTTATAACTTAAGTAGAAAAAAGCCCTACATATTAAACACAATATTTGGTTGCTGATTAGTATAAGATGTGTAAGTTATAAACTTATAAACTTAAACCTATGAACTTATAGCTATAAACTTCCAAACCTTATATTAATCAGGTACCGAATATTGTTTTGAACATGAAGGGCCTTTTTTTACTTAAGTTATAAATTAAGTAATATACCAGCAGTAAATTACACCAATTATTCTACATACACCAGTGGACCGAGTAAAACAGTATAACTATCTTGGAACAACAGTAAATGAACAATGGGATCACTCACAGGAAATAAAATGTAGAATAGAGAAGGCTAGGAGTGCATTCAATAACATGGCCAAACTCTTTAAAAGCCACAATCTAAATCTGGAGATAAAAGTAAGGCTTCTACGATGTAATATCTTCTCAATATTGTATTACGGAGTTGAATCATGGACACTAACTGAAGCAATGGAGAAAAAACTTGAAGCCTTCGAGATGTGGCTATACAGGCGAATTCTAAGGATATCATGGACAGACAGGATAACCAACGAGACCGTATTACGAAGAGTGGGCAAAGAAAGAGAGGTGATGTATACCATTAAAAGGAGAAAGTTGGAATATCTCGGACATATAATGAGAAACAGCACTAAATACAGATTACTGAAGGTAATCCTACAGGGTAAAATATTCGGAAAGCGAGGAATTGGGAGAAGGAGAATATCATGGTTGAAGAACCTGAGGAAATGGTTCTCCACAACAACAACGAATTTATTTAAAGAATGCAGTTAATAAAATAATTATAGCCAGAATGATTGCCAATATTCGGAACGAATAGGCACTGAAAGAAGAAGATTCTACTACAAAAATTACACTGACATACATTACATAGCATTCTACTCTGTAATAATTAAATTAAAAAAAAAACTTCATTTCATATATCTGTTTTCCATACCCCAAATACCAAATTTTGAAAAGGTATAGGACCTTTAATATAAGAAAAAAAGTTTAAGTTCTAGACCATTGAATTCAGATATCTGTATAGTTGGTTGCCTACCTACATTTATAACTTTTATCAACCTTCAATTAATCAACAATAATACCTAATTTACAACTTTTTCAACAAAATTTTTGCAGCAAATCATAATTTAATCTTCAACATATGGATGGTTCCTATTGTTATATACAATCGAATTTTAACATATCATCGCTTAAGATGCAAAAGCTCGTAACCCACAAATAAGTTTTTGTACAGGAGAATAAAAAAAACATTCTCTGTTAAACCTAAATAGATAATTATTGATTTATTATCAAGATATTATTATAATATTGGAAAATACATAATTTTTTTAATTTTTAAAATTATTTTGGAATTGCTACCAAATGATAATGCAGAATGTGGTTTAAGTGTTTCAATAAATTGAAAAGTTTTTTCTAAAGACCTTTAAATCTTGAAGATGTTTCCATTTTTGAGCTTTTATTTTTCTGTTTACCAAATTCATTTGAGGCCAAACACGGCATATTTCTTGTCTGTTTCTACGATGCGGTAGTTTCTACCCATAAATCATCAAAGTTCAGTTTGTAGAAAATAACACCTTCGAGTGTATATTTAATAGCTCTAATGTCAGTCACATTTTTGTTCCCTGGTCGTATGCTGGCATAAATCTGGTTTTCCTCTTTCGAATAATCTTTAAACCGATTCTACGTTACCCATTCGGCCATATATGGATAGGGATTTTGTCTAGCTTCACGAGTAATAGAAAGATAAGTTGAAGGCAGATATATATCACGTCCTTTAATTTTAGTTTCTATTCGACTGTAAACGGAGTCACACTCCATTTCAGTATGTCCACGTTCTAAGTATTTTTATTCAATTATTTGATTTCTACTTATAGAGCAAAAAACATTTGCTATGATACTGTTACGGTTTTAATATGTACATCCATCACTGTACACTATAAGTGGCAAGTTGCTATCCATAAACCGTGTAATATAGTCCACAACCAAAGAGGCAAACGAAGAGGCGGAAAAATCAGTTTTTATTTCGCTAAACCAATAACACATAACATGTTTTGTCTTTATATTCATTATGGTGAAATCATGACAACATAATTTTGTTTTATAATATACAGCACTTGAGTTTAGGCTAGCACATACCTTAACAGCTTGTAGATCGATCATTAAATTAATGCTTGATTCATCTTGAGCTAGCTTGGTGTCATTCAGTTTTTCTTGTCTTGCTCTTTCCTTCTTAGAAATATGATTAGTAAAAGATTCCTCATCCAGGTTCTCTACTTCATGTTGACAACAAATGTCACATTTATCTTTTTTGGGCAGATATATAGAAATTCGTTTCTCATTGAATAACTCGTCGAATTGTCTTCTACTCATAGTCGGATTGCCTTTATTTTTGCACTTCAACAGATACTCGTTATATAAAGCTGTAATAGATCGAACAATCTGGTCTAAATATAATTTGCTTGAGCTTTTACGGCAGTAGTGGGATAGCAGTTTTGGTAGCTCATCTAAAAACGTCTCTAAAAACTGCTTGTCACCATTCATTTTGATTCGTGCTCGTCTCATTCCTGTTTCTTCTAATACATTGGATTCGTGAATATTGTGTTTAGCTTTCTTAACCCATGAGGTAACTTAAAATTTACCCAAGCATAAAGTAGATAAAAATAATTTTTAACATACATTTGTCTTTTGACCATCAACTGGTAAAGTATAAAACATTGAAAAATTTCTGGATAATGTTTCATTTTTTGTATAGCTTCGTTTTACAGATGTGCGTGTAATATTATTGGCCACAAAAATTTTTCGTCGTTTCCATGTCATTTTCCAAAATTTGTTAAATATTTCTTTTCTAGTATCTTCTAAAATGTTGGAACAAGCACGTAATTTACTTTTCTTACACTGATTTAAATCACAGCGTGGTCCCATTGTTTTCTCAGATTTTGATGTTTGTATACTTTTGTTTCAGGATCTTTTTGAAAACCATGATACACTTTACCGCTTTCTCCTAGTCTTTTGTTTGCTTCTCTTTTCCAAGATTGCCTCTTCGTTTTCCTCTTTCTAGTTTTACCCATTTGTGTGCCTTCAAAATCACTGAATAGACTTCTTGCATGTTCTTTATTGGTAGTATTTTTATTGATGTTTAAATCTAGTTCTTGATTTGATTTTGAAATTTTGTATTGTTCTTTATTCGGTGATTCTTGTGATATTTATTCACTTGTGCTGGCTGCGTTGATGTCCGTTAAAATTTCGCAAACCTCGTCATGTCCAGACATTTTAATTACTATATCATCAGCATTATAAACATTAATATTATGGATTATAGCTTAATTGGCAGGCGAAACAGTTAGAACTATAGGCAGGAAAATAGAATCAGAACTTTTCCCTTTTGCTTAACAATTACATTTGAAGCAGCCGTTTGATCTGAAACAAACACTCTGCTTAAAATCGTTTGAATATATGGATTTGTAGAGAAATACATATTATCGTGAATTTAAAACAATAGAATAGGTAAAAACCAAAGACCACGTTCAACGTATGGATATGAGCACAATGTAAAACTAATCATGATGCATGACTAAATCCTTTTAAATAGTTAAAAGTTTTTAACAAAAACATAATTGATAATAAACGTACTTGGATATCTGATATTACAGCAGTAATTAATATTATGTAAGCTCACCTGTTGTGTTTAAACATTCTTGCACTAAGAATTTAACACGTTTAGAGACCTTAATATTGTCCATATTCATTTTAATTTGCACAAAGTTTGCTTTACAGTACTGCGATATTTAAGAAATAATTTTAAAGTTAGAAACATTTGGGTTAAGTAATACAAGTATTCAATTCAAAAGCTTGTAAGCCATATGCGCATCATGTATATGCGGGTTATTAGGTTTTGCTTAGATCAGCAATACCTCATATACCACATAGACTAGATGGGTATGTGGTTAACGAGATGTTGCAGTAAAATATGTGATTTGCGAGTTTTTTTATTTTCGATAAAATTCACTGAAACAATGCAATCGTGGCTTACCATATTTTCGACCGATATTGTCTGAAGAGCTGAAATTATCTCAGGGAAGTTGTTTGGGCAAGATAGTCGAATGTCGAAAGTAAATTTATCTTTTCAGTATGTCCCGTAGATGTTAGATTGGGCTAAAAACGGGACCGGAAGCTGGACAATCCGTATGAAAAATCCTAAAGTCCTCTAAGTTTTCATTCACATTAAAAGAGAATTCTCTCTCTTGTTGCCGACAGGAATGTAGCTTCGACTAATTTTTAAATAATTTTTAACTGTTTGTCCTTGTTTAGTGTATGTGTTATGTACAATTTATGTTTAATTTCATGTTTATTACATTCTGCGCTTGATGGATAGCCCGAAATTTACGAAATGCCCCTGATGATGCTTAAGAAAGCGAAAGTACTTGGGCAAGATTTGATTAATAAAATTGTGCTCGATTTCATTTTATCAAAGTTAAAAGTAATTGTTGAACATATAATATTTTAATACTGGGAATATATTTAATTTTTTTCGTATACAAATTAAATATTTATTAATTTATTTTCAGGTTCTTTTTAGTGTAACTACGATATGGTCATATGCCTTGGATTCTAACGATGGTTCACTACGAAGTTTGTTACTAAACCAAAATAACGAACAAAGGTACTCTAATAAAAACAATTTCTTTCATTATAATGATGGTTTAAACGGCCAGTACAGCCCATGTGGTGCGTCACCATGTCAACCAGAAATTGACATATACAATGGCCCGTGTGGTGGTTCGGTTTGTCAACCAGGAATGTCATCATTTCCAATGATTCCACAAATTCCACCTATTCCACAAATTCAACCAATAATTCCACAAATTCCCCCAATTCCGCCAATTCCTCAATTTCAACCAATAATTCCACCAATTCCACCAATTCCACAAATTCAGCCAGTATTTCCATCAATTCCACCAATTCCGCCAATTCCTCAAATTCAACCAATAATTCCACCAATTCCACCAATTCCATCAATTCCACAAATTCTACCATCCCTTCATTCCCAATATATCCACAACCAAGTGTCAGTTGTAGTTATGGGTGTCCTCCATATTATAAATAAATGTCGGTAACATAGTAAGAATAGAAAATGGAAGATATCTCCTACAATGTTTTAATAAATCCTATATCTATGTGGTTTGCGTTTTATTTTAAATATTATATGTACTTTACTTTTTTATTAAGTGTACCCAGATTTACACGTTCTAAACTTTATCGATTCCGAATAAAGTAGCGAAAATAAGTTATAATAAACAATTTTAGAGATTATTAAATCATATATATATATATATTATATATATATATATATATATATTATATATATATTTATATATATATGTATATATTTATATATATATATATATATATATATATAAATATATATTTATATATATATATATATATATATATATATATTTAAAAAATATTCAATAGTTGAATATCAGAGGTTGTATCGGTCAATAATAGGCAAATGAAAGTCGTCAACTACTTCATTGATTTAATCGAATACGTTTCGCTTTTTAGTTTTCAAAAGCATCATCAGTTCACTACAAATAAAAATAAAACGATGTAAAATATAAGTAAATAACCAAAAGGGTTCATACTTACAAAAACAATTTGTAGGTTTTGTAAAAGATGTTAAAAACACTCTACGATAACTTAACATTAAAAAATTTTAAAAAACTAAACGATAGAATCGAAACAAAAAACACACAGGAAAAAACTGAAACAGCACTATTGTTTATTTAATTTTTTACCGATGGCTTCATCTCAATGTGGGTGTAAGCTCTTTCGACGACCCAACACAATAATCTCTTGGAATGTTTTCTATCGGTTTTTAGGCTGTCATTTTTGCACATGTGGCATGTGTCGTCCATACAGTTTCTTCGGAAAGCAGTGAGGTACAATTATTAAAAAGGTTAGTAAGCAGAACGGGGACAGCCCTATTTTTCAAAAAAGGATATTTTTTTTTTTCTACAACAAAATATTTTGAAAATAGGGAAAGAAGAAGGGGAATGAAGTTACTATCTTGTAAGTGTTTATTTTTTAATTATTATTGTTGTGTATGATTATGTGTGGTGATATAATGTGATATAAAACTCTGTTGACAATTTAAATTTTTTACTTGAAAATCTTACATTGATGCCTCAAATTATTTCAACACCAGTATCAACGCCCATTCTTTTTAACAAATTCCTACAATTTTAATCACAGAACTTGAAATGCCATTTTCAAATGCCGATATCACTGGCCTATGGGCTACGCTGCCAAAATCCACCGGAGATAACCCTATCTACCTTTCTAAAATCAGTTAATAATTTAATCACCTTCCTGGTAGGTCAACAGCTGAGACCTTCTCAGAAATTTATTTTAAATTCAAACATTATATCTCGTAATAAAGGAGAGCCACGTGATTTCCTTAATTATTAAATAAAAGAACTTGAAGTACGTCTAGATCTTTTAGCTAAATACAGAGACGATCCGAAGAAGTCCTGGTCATCCAGCTTTCAACAACTCGTCCCTACCATTTCTAACTATCGAAAGTAAAGAGTAGTACGAGAGCAAGATAATAATTCTTTTTAGAGTTCTAAATCAACGCCTTGACAAATGGAGAGAAATTTTTATATTTTTTTTATTTGATGTTTAATCCTTGTTAGATTGATTAAAAAATTAAACTGTTTACTGTTTTTTTTCTCCAAAAAATCACATTCAATACTTTGCTTTTTATTTTAATCAACGATTTATTTTGGTACAATGTCTCAAAATTGGGAATGTGGCATTTTCGTCAGTTTATATTGGTATAATTTTAAGACATTCATTTGGTGCAATGTTTCAAATCAATTGCATTTTCGACAGTTCATATTGGTCTAATGTTAACACATTTATATTCTTAATTAACAAGAAAGAAAATTAAATAATTTTAATATTCTTACAAAATGTATTACAAAAAATCATTTATTTAAAAATTAAAGTTGTAGGACAAAAAGGAAAAATTATGTTTAAAAAAAATGTTAAAAGTATTTTTATGAAAGTATGTATTGATAGAAAATTAATGTAATTAAAAGTAAAAAACATTAATAATGGAACTTCTCGTCCTGTAGATACCTCAAATACTCAGTCATGACCCTCAATTGTTGTGTACCTGTAAAATATTGGTAAATTAAAAGTTTTAAATTTTAAATTAAACGTATGGTTTTATTTTATTTTCTAGTGCAAATGTCACCGTTCTTTGGTTGAAATCTAAGAAGTCGTTATGAAGTAGGTATGTCACTTCAAACGAGCATGGCTTAGTGCGTGCTCTTATGATTTGTGCCCTTCCCTCAAGGGTGTACCTATACAGGGGAATTTTTTAAGTTAGATTTAATTTTTGAATGGACAAAATTGCATTCTATTTTTGAGTGACCGGGTACAAAAAACACATAGTCAATTGTTTTTAAATTTGGGGTAACAATTAACAATATATTGACACACATGGCAGAAAAAGAAAAGTTTTTCTGTTGTCCTCCGTAATTGTCGGAAATCACTTTTGACATGTTCAGTATCATGTTAAGACATGATGTATTTAAATATACATGTAACAATTTCAGTACCACCGCGTTTTTCCTTGGTTTCATCCTATATGAAACACTGGACGCTCCCTTCTTTTAAATAATAAATCGTTAAATTATAAAAAGTTTTCTCACATAAACACACGGTCCTGCAGCTCCTTTAGGCGTTGACAAAACAAATTAAAGATCGAAATTAAATGCTAATATTTTCCTTTTCTCCAAAGCCGACTGTTCAGCTTCATTTCTTTTTTTTTTCGCTGCATCTTCTCTTTAGAGGTGTGATGGAAAGAAGAATTACAATATGTAGACGACGTCCCAAAGATAGCATTCTTTAATGTTTTTTCTAGTAATTCTCGTTTTGACAAAATCACTGTTTCCGGTTTAGCTATACCCAGTTAACTGAATAATCAGAGAAACCGTTAAAAAGAAAATGATAAAGTGCCTCTCCGAAAGAACTTCTTGGAAGCAATAATTTACACAATTGTGAACATAGGCGATTTGTTCTTGTACACAATATTAGTATTTTCGAAAGTTTGCAGATTATAATGGAATAACTGTATCCATTACTACACTGAAACTAATAAATGTGACACATTCGTCATTTTGCGTTGTACAAATATGCCTTTAGTTATATTTATACAAATCACAAGTATCGAATATTTCATTTTCGTCAGTTTGCAGTATATTCGATATTTTGACCAAAACAAAATGTCACAATGTTCATATTCGATGGTTTAAACAAAGTTTTCCCCCGTTCCTTATCAAGCTATAATTTCGATATTTTGCTACAAGGTGTATCACGTTTAATGCAAGGACAAGCTATCGTATCTGAAAAAACCCGATTTGTCACATTCGATAGTTAAAAATAATAGGGACGAAACACAGTTACTGTCCAAAGAGATCATGAATCATACGATCAATATGTGGATTGGATTATTTTATTAAACAAATAACGTTAATCATTTAAACATTTGGACTTACCATATATATGCAATCAAAGAATTTCCATGGCTTACCTGAAACAATAAAGGTATAGTTAAACAGGGCAAAACATTTAAAAAATATAAATTATATTACAACCCTAATAATATAACCCTATTAATAAAATATAATTATAATTTCAATAAACATAGGAACTTTGTCATAATTTAATACATTAAACAAAATATTGTGTACCCTTATTCAACCCTATATGAATTATTGTGCCTTCTTTTTTCTTAAATAAATGGGGGTTTTTTTGCAAAAACCTCAGAATATGTCAGTTTTTTTTTCGGAAATGGACTTACGCCATCTATGGATTTAAGAACTAATTACCTACGTTCCTTGCGTAAGAAAATTCTATTAAAACCACAATAGTCCAAGATATAAGAGACAAAAATATAGGCGATTTCGCATAAACCCCATATGTCAATATTGGTGTTTTTGCAGGAATCTTTATCGCTTGGCTGTCAGTAGGTTTTATAGGTTAACGTTCTTTCGAATAATTGTGTTGTGTGATTTTATTAGTAAACACCATAAACCAATTTAGTCAAATGAGTTTTATAATAAATACAAGTAACAATAAACTCGAACGTCCAAGTTCAAGTGAAAATGTGTATTAAAAAAGAAAAGGAAGGTGCTGTGACGTACAGAGGTAAAACAGGCAAGAGTGAAGGGACAAAAACATGTTATAAACATTATAAGGGCACAGAAAAAACACAAGTACAAATGAGTCCCAATTGCAGGTAGGTTACACATATAAATTGCAAAATGATGAGTGAAACACTTTTATTCCTTTTAGATGTTCCAATTTAATCCAGTTTTATTATAATTTATAATAAAAAGGTGTTTCTATTAAACATTTTTGAAAAAAAAAAACCAAAATTTTAATTTTTTGTATTCGAAAGTACCCGCTACCCATGACAATTAAAACTAAATGCAATTGTTTTATAGTAGACGTAAATTAAATCATCCACACTCTTTATAATGACACTAATTTTTGTTAAAATCGGTTGATCCAAACCAAAGTTATAGGTATTTATGCACAAATACTTTGCCACCCTCCCCCACCCTTTATTTTGATAAAATAAAAAAACGTACTTAAACAACTTTGTGCGGAATTTAGGCATATTTCTAGTTTACTTATTTAACACTTGATATAATTGGACATATTTCACAATAAACTGGTTTTCAAATTTTTCTTCACAGGTTACGCCCCCTAGCGGTTAACCCAGAAACTTGAAAGTTAATTCCAGTGATTTCTCTTGGCCACTTTTACTAAGGAATTTTTTCTCCTAAAGTTATAAAATGAATAGTTTCTGATATGTAGCCGAGAGATCGGCCTATTGGACCACCCGGTACACACGCGGCAGCTCAAGTGCCCGTTCTGTCATAGAATTGTGATAGAACAAGGTTTGAGCTTGAATTTAGGTCCTTGTAATTAAAAAATAAGGTTTTTTGCTTGTGTTATTGAGTAATAATTAATCGTATTTTTTTTTAGTATCAGTAAATTATTTATAACTCGAAAAACGATGAAGTTTGCAGAAAATCTACAAAAAACTTATTTTGTTTAAAATGGTTCAAAAACTTAAAAGAACATGTTTATACT